TTTCAGCCCGGCCCGGGATAAGAGGTGCAGGGAACTCCCTGCCCCGCCCCCTCCCTGGTCTCCAACTCTCCGGAGGAGGGGCACCGCAGACTTTGAATGCCAGAGGGGCAGAAGACGGGAAGAAGCGATTCAGGTGCCGCCCGGAGAAGGGACGCAGGGCGCTGGAAGCCGGGGCGAGACGGAAGCACGGAGGATAGATGGAGGGAGGGAGAAAGGAGCAGAAGAGAAATAAGGAGAGTGGGGGGTGGAGGGCGTGTTCGGGGACAAAGCGACAGTGAGGGAAAGCTGGGCGAAAGCAGGGGGGGGGGACGGGAGTCATTCAGATATCGAAGCTGGGGGGGGCGGGGACGGGAGTCATTCAGATATCGAAGCTGGGGGGGGGGGGGACGGGAGTCATTCAGATATCGAGGAGACAAAGGATTGTGGCGAGAGAGCAGGCGTTCCTTAGGTCCCGGGTGCCTGGCCCGACTGCGGGGGAAGCTCCCCGTCCACAATAAATAGGAAAATCCTGAGCACGCGGTGCGCCTGGCATCTCTGCCTCGCAGAATTATTTTCCTCCCCCACCCCACCCCCCAAAAAAACCACAAAACCCACCAGCAGACCCCGGCCCTCCCACCGGACCTTTACCATTCCAGCACCTTCTCAGCCACCGGCCCCAAGCGGAGGAGGTTGGGGACGGAGGGCCTGCGGCCGTCAGTGTCCGGAGCCATACATTTTGTCCCACTCCACGAACGAGTCCAGTTCCTTGGGGGAGACTCTCGGGCCCACCTTGGTGAGCGCGGCCTCCAAGTCCCTGTAGGAGATGGGGCGGTGCAGACCCGGGAGGCCCGCCCCGGCCGCCGCCTGCTGGCACAACTGCCCCAGCTCGCCCCCGGAGAAGCCCTGGGTGCCCTGCACCAGGGCGGCGAGCTCCCGCTCGCTCAGCGCGCAGCCCTGACGGGCCAGCGCCCGCTGCAGGATCTGCCCGCGGGCCGGGCTGTCAGGCAGCGCCACGTAGAAGCGGAGAGCGAAGCGCCGGCGGGTGGCCTCGTCCAGAGCCCCGGGTCGCGAGGTGGTGCCCACCACCAGCACGCCCTCCGCCCCCACGCCGCAGCCGCAGTCCAGGCAGGCCAGGAGCGGGGCC